CCCCGCCCTCCCGCCAGGCTGACCTGTCTGTCCTCTGGCTCCACCCAGCATCCCCCGAGAAACCTCGGCCCCACTAAGACAGCTGCTGCTGGCCCTGCTGCAGCGCAACCACAAGGACCGCATGGACTTCGGTGAGCACAGCCCCTCGGCCCCACCTCCTGGGTGCCCACAGCTCCTTCCTGCAGCGCAGGCTGTGAGGCCTGGTTTGCAGGGAAGCTCTGCTGGGAAAACCACATCAGGCGGGCGGGCGGGTGGCCTGGGCCAGACGAGCAGGGGCCGCCAGCTGGGCTCTGTATCTGCTCTCTGGTGCCAACGTCAGCTGGGGCTCAGTGGGGGGGTGTCTTTCACCCCAGACACCCAGGGTTGGGGTCCTAAGGTCCCATTCATCCCTGTCTGTTCTGCAGATGAGTTTTTCCGTCACCCTTTCCTCGACGCCAGTGCTTCCGTGAAGAAGTGTGAGTCCTCTGAGGGCCCCATACCCCCTGCCCCGTGGGCTGCATCCCCAACCCAGAAGGTGGAGGTTCCCGGCGCCTTGCCCCCAGAAGCCTGGGTGTAGTAGGTTTGGGGGGTGGAAGCTTCCCCTCTCTCAGTCCGTGCGGGGGGCAGCTGTCTGCAGAACAGGTGGGGTCTGCAGGGCAGGGGGAGGACCTGACCGCCTGCCCCCACAGCCCCGCCTGTGCCTGTGCCCTCCTACCCGAGCTCCGGCTCTGGCAGCAGCTCCAGCAGCAGCTCCACCTCGCACCTCGCCTCCCCACCCGTGAGTGCTATGGGCGGGGGAGGCAGCAGAGCCTGGCCACTGTCCCTGTGGGGTCCAGGCCCAGCCTGGGTATGGCATCTCAGAAACTGAAGGGGAGGCATGACCCATGGGGGGAGGAGTGGGCAGAGCCCTCTGTCAGCCCCAGGCCCTGGGCCTGTCTTAGTGGCCTTCCCTCTGACCCAGTCCCTGGGGGAGATGCAGCAGCTGCAGAAGACACTGACCTCCCCAGCCGATGCCGCCGGCTTCCTGCAGGGCTCCCGGGACTCAGGCGGCAGCAGCAAGGACTCGTCCTGCGACACCGATGACTTCGTCATGGTCCCGGCCCAGTTTCCAGGTCAGGGCTGCAGTGTGTGGGGGGTAACATGGCCCATGTGTTAGAGGGGCCCTGTGTGCACGTGGTTGCAGACCTGTCTCCAGCTGTGGGCCCTCAGTGGGTTTCTGGGAGCTAACCCACCAGGTCAGCTTGGTTACAGGGTCAAAGCCAAGTCCTGCCAGTGGTCAGTGGGTGGTCAGTGGACCCAGTCCCACCTTCCACAGGCCCTGCCTTCTGTACCGCCACCCCACCTGTTTCTCCTCCTTAGCACCCCTGGCCTTTTCTCATTTTCATATTGAAAGTCCCTCCAGAGCACCTGCTCAGGCCTCTGGGTTGGGCCTGGCCCTCCCACAGCCCTGTCCTGGGGTCCTCAGTGCCTCTTGGAGCCCTGACGCTGGCACTTCCTGGGCCTGGGCTGGGTTGGAGTGGGCCCTGGTGTCCCCTGGAAGCAGCAGGGACCCAGGCTAGGCTCGGCAGCTTGGTTTGGCCGGGGAGGAGAGGCCTTTTGCCCAGCCTTGGGCAGCACAAATGGGAAGACAGGACAGCTGTGGGACTGGGTCCTGCAGGAGGGGTGGGGCTTAGACTGGGAGCTGCGGGCACCTGGCCTGGACTTGGCTGAAGGCTCTCCGTCAAGAGCCCTGATGTCCTGTTAGGCAAAGGGGGTTCTCAGTAGAAGTGATGGAAGTGGGGACACGAGAGCAGTGGGCCTGGTGTGGTGCCCCCCCACCCCCAAGAAGAGACACCCTTGTCTCACAAAGCCCTGCCTGGGAGGGTAGACTGGACACTCATCCTGATTCGAGAGATGCCTGGGCCCAGCCTTGCCTGTCTCCTATCTGCAGGTGATCTGGTGGCCGAGGCAGCCAGTGGCAAGCCCCCGCCGGACAGCCTGATGTGCAGTGGGTGAGCTCCCAGCCCCTCGCCAGGGAGAGGGAAGTGCTGGCTCTCGGGTGGTTCTTTTGCCCCATCTGGGGTCAGGCGATTCGGGGAGGCCCAGTCTGCTGTGCTCAAGCAGGACGTGCCCTAGGGAAGGGCCAGGGTCTGTGCTCACATTTAGCTGCCTGTCTGCTCTGTCCCCACCAGGAGCTCACTGGTGGCCTCAGCTGGCCTGGAGAGCCACGGCCGGACCCCATCTCCATCTCCGCCCTGCAGCAGCTCCCCCAGCCCCTCTGGGTAAGCAGGCTGGGGCTTCCCCCAGCCCTCCTGGGTGGTCCAGCAGGAGGGACTATGGTGGAAGGACTTAGTCCAAGGGGTGGACAGCTATGGGAACCACCAGGGACCAGTGCCACCAGCACCCTTGGGCCTACAGGCTGGGCAGACAGGGCTCCCAGAGCCAGCAGAAGCTGGGGGGTCTCGCTGTCTCCTATCCCACCTCCTGTGGTGTGTCCCATGGCTGGTCCAAACCAGAAGCTCCTGGGCACAGAGTGGCAGGGGTGGGCTTTGAGCAGTGCTGGGCATGTGCAGGAGGTTTGAGCCTGGGGTTCAGCCCAGGGGCCGTCTGCAGTGACCCCCCTGTCTGTCTGCCCACACAGCCGGGCCGGCCCGTTTTCCAGTAGCAGGTGTGGAGCCTCTGTCCCCATCCCGGTGCCCACGCAGGTGCACAACTACCAGCGCATCGAGCAGAACCTGCAGTCGCCCACCCAGTACCAGACCCCACGGTGCGTGCAGAGCCCAGGGCCAGGCAGGGAAGAGTGAGACCCCACTGCCGCCCCGAGAGGTATAGGGCCGGCCCCCATGTACAGTTGCGAAGGCTGTGCGTGGCGTGACTCAGGCTGGCGTTTTAGGTTTCTGACAGCTGTCTGGTGGGTGTCAATCAAGTATCTCGAGTTAAAAAAACCAGCGACGATTGTGGCAGATTTCCACAGATGGGAGTAATGAGAGGAGAGGGCACCTTTTTTGGAATTCACAGAAGGCCCTGGAGGCTAATGAGTCCTATCAGACCTTGACCTCAGCCATGGGTGCTCTTGGGGAACTCACTGGGGCTCCCCACCTTGTAGTTGTCCCATCTAGGAGGGTGAGGGGGCTGAGCCATTTGGTAGGGGCTGTGACCTCACTTCCTGGCTCCTTTTCACGTCCTTAGGTCCTCCGCGATTCGCAGGTCTGGCAGCACCAGCCCTCTGGGCTTTGCACGGGCCAGTCCATCACCCCCATCCCATGCTGAGCACGGAACCGCCCTGGCCAGGAAGCTCTCCCTGGGCGGAGGCCGGCCCTACACGCCGTCTCCACAGGGTGAGTCCATGGTCTGCTGGTGGGTGCAGCCTCTGAACTGGGATGGGACTGGGTATCTTCGCATGGCTGGGATGGGTGTGTGCATGTCATCTCCATCTGGCACTGACGGTGACCATCCCTGTTTTCCAAGTTGGAACCATCCCTGAGCGGCTGGGCTGGAGCGGGGTGCCCTCCCCACAAGGAGCCGAGATGCGGGGTGGCAGGTCCCCTCGTCCAGGTAGGTGCGGCATCAGTCCCCTGGTGTGCGCATGGATCTGGGGAGGGGTGAGGAGCCCAGCTGGCCTCCCATGCTTTGGGTGAAGCCGTCTTCCTGTTCCCAAGGCTTTCATTTCAAGGCCTTCATTTCTCACAGGGAGGGTAGGAAGTGAGACAGCTGTGGGATTCTGGTCTTCCCCAGCCTCCTCTCCAGACATGTGACCTTGGGTGGGTGTCTCAGCTCCTCTGTGCCTGGTTCCTCAGGTGCCTGGTGGTGCCACCCCTTAGGTGGCTGAGAGGGTACAGGGTGTAATGAACAGACTTGGTGCCTCTGTATGTGCTCCTCGGTGGTGGTGTGTGGGCTGGGCAGGCCCTGCAGCCCGCAGACCACAGTGACCAGGCCTGTCCTGTCCCACCCCAGGCTCCTCCATGCCCGAGCACTCGCCCCGTACCGCTGGGCTGGGCTGCCGCCTGCACAGTGCCCCCAACCTGTCCGACCTGCACATGGTCCACTCCAAGCTGCCTAAGCCACCCACGGACCCGCTGGGGGCTGTGTTCGGACACCCACAGGCCAGCCCCCCGCAGCCATCCCACGGGCTTCAGTCCTGCAGACCCCTGCGTGGCTCGCCCAAGCTGCCTGACTTCCTGCAGCGGAATCCCTTGCCTCCCATCCTGGGCTCCCCCACCAAGGTACCAGGCCCCAGAGTTCTGGTCAGTGGGTGAATGTCTCCTTCTTCCCACTCCCCTGCTTCCACAGTACACGGACCCTGAAACCTTTGCCGAATCCTTTGCTGGTGGCTGTGTTCCTGAGGCAGGGGCTAGTCCCCAAAGCCAAAGCATCTGCTCTGTGTCCCAACCCTGGTCCAGCAGTCCACAGCCCCAGAAAGCCCAGGCTGCCATCATAGAATACTGTTAAGTCCATTCCCTGGACTCAGTTTTCTTGTCTGTGAAATGGGAACAGAACGTGCAGTCACCCTATGGGCATAGGGCCTGCATGTGTGTCTGTGTGTGTATGTGCGTGTGTGTGTGCATGTGCATGCATGTGCGTAGTACTTTCCTTCAGCACAGTGTTGGCTGTGAAGATGGGGTCATGGAGTTTTGGGGCTCTGGGCTGGGGCCCTACAGGCTCAGGCCAACCTTGCCGACCAGCCAGAGTGTTAACAGTGGTGTGGCAGAGGCCCCCGGTTGGGGCCATTCTAAGCACCCCACTGCCCTTCCTAGGCCACGCCCGCATTTGAATTCCCAAAGACCCCCAGCTCCCAGAACCTGCTGACCCTCCTGGCCCGGCAGGGCGTGGTCATGACGCCACCTCGGAACCGCACGTTGCCTGACCTCTCAGAGGCAGGTCCCTTCCAGGGGCAGCAGCTAGGCCCTGGCTTGAGGTCCACAGAGGACACCAAGGGCCCCTTTGGCAGGTAAGTGGGTGGGACCCCTCATGTTGCCTACCCGCCCATGTTGCCTGTCCCTCTGTCCCTCTGGAGTCCTCTCTGAGCTCAGTCTGCCTGTCTGTTGAGGGGTGGCAGTGGCTGCCCCTGGGGTGGGTGGGGGCACCAAATGGCCAGTGCATGTGTGGCTGTGTGCCTGGTGGGCAGTGAGTACCTAAGACGGTCATGGTGGCAGGCCTGCCTGTGGGGAGCTGGTGCCCGGCCTCTCGACCCCCAGGGTGGCTCATAGCTGCCCCGTGCCTCCCCCTGCAGGTCCCTCAGCACCGGCCGCCTCACAGATCTGCTCCTTAAGGCCGCCTTTGGGACACAGGCCCCTGACTCGGGCAGCTCTGACAGCCTGCATGAGAAGCCCATGGAAATCGGTAAGTGGGCAGTGGGCCACGGGGCGGGG